AGTGGTTCTTGGGCCAGGTCCAATAGCTCTATCCCAAGAATTCTAACTGACTGAGTGCCACTAAGGAGGTACAGTCTTGATGAAGCCATACCACAGTTACTTCAGGTTAAAAAAAAACCCCAAGACAACCTGACTTGGCTTCCACTCCATTTTCCACAGCGAAGGCTTTCCGCATAGAGATAAAGAGATATCACTCTGCATCCATGGCCAATAGCCAATGGCATTCTCCCTTTGCCAGCTACGCTGCCATAAGGGTTGGGGGTGGGGTGCTTGCTTGCGAAGTCCGCTGCATTCCTTTTCGGCTTCTGTAATGCTTGCTTATCTATGGCCTTGCAGGTGCTATGGAGTGTCTGGGATTCTAGGGGACCGTGGGAGCGCTTTCGGTTCTCAGCTTCGGCCTAACGGCCTGGGGCTCCTTCTCCCGCGCGCGGGAATGTGGCTAATTGGCCTAAGGAGGGATGTGTGTGCATACGAATACCCTGTATCCCATTATGCTTGTAGGGGAGACGCCATTCTTAACAGTGCCTTTGTTAATGCATCTATAGCTCTTCAATAAAGTATAACCTTTCTGATAAGCGTGTACTCAGTTGTTGGCTGTGGAACCTGACACGCTTGCCTAAGTCAGGATCTGTCCACTAGATCACATAATCTCTTTCCAAAGGGAAGGCAGGATATGAAGAGCTTATAAAAATTTGGAACGACGGAATCCATCTGAGATCATAACATTAGCCCGGTGTAATACTGGTGGTAGTTACTAACATGCAAGTACAAATTTGTCTTTCCAACCTGTGCCAGCAATATCAGAGTGTTTGTAATAGGTCATTGGTAACTAAGGTGTGGCGCCCATTATTTTTAAGGAAAAAGTTCATGCCTCATTAGCTTCATATTCTAGCGATGGAAACAAGTTTATACATAAGCATCAACCCTGCCTAGAGGTTTTGAGTGTGTTGCCAAATAACTGAAACAAGAAGATAGCGCATGATTTCTGCTGTGCCATCTGATCCTTAAGTGTTTTATATTCTTGTTCAACACCTTTTTTAAATTAGAAGAAGTTGGGAAAACTCCAGATGTTCTCGGATGAGATTAAGTATCTGGCCAAATTTCAGTTTCAAGCCTGGTTTCAGAACGGAAGCTACTTTCGCGGGAAAATGGCAGACGATATGAGACCCTGGCTGATTTGCCTAGGAATCTCACCAGCTTTTGTCACATTGACACAGCTGAACACGCTAACCATTAATGAACATTAAACAGCACCTTTGGGATGGAGAAAGGGCTGCAGTGGCTCAACTGGTTAAGACGCTGAACTGCAGACCGGAAGGTTGGTAGTTCAGCAGTTCGAGACCTGAGTGCCGCATAACAGAGTGAGCGCCCGTCTCTGGCCCCAGCTCCTGCCAACCCAGCAGTTCGAAAGCAAATTGCAAGTAGAGAAATAGGTACTGCTTTGGTGGGAAGGTAACAGCGTTCCGTGCAGACTGGAAGGTTGGTAGTTCAGCAGTTCGAGACCCAAGTGTGCCGCATGACGGAGTGAGAGCCCGTCTCTGGCCCCAGCTCCTGCCAACCCAGCAGTTCAAAAGCAAGAAATTGCAAGTAGATAAATAGGTACCACTTTGGTGGGAAGGTAACAGCGTTCAGTGCAGACCGGAAGGTTGGTAGTTCAGCAGTTCGAGACCTGAGTGCCGCATGACGGAGTGAGCTCCCGTCTCTGGCCCCAGCTCCTGCCAGCCTAGCAGTTCAAAAGCAAGAAATTGCAAGTAGATAAATAGGTACCTCTTTGGTGGGAAGGTAACAGCGTTCCGTGCACCTTGGCATTTAGTCATGCCGGCCACATGACCACGGAAACGTCTTCGAACAGCGCTGGCTCTTCGGCTTGGAAACGGAGATGAGCACTGCATCCCTAGAGGCGGATTCGACTGGCTTTCGAGCAAGGGAAACCTTTACCTTGGGATGGAGAAAGAGTTTTCGTATGAGATTCTTGCAGCAGACACTCTGTACCGCGCGCACATTTTGTACTCGTCTGTGGTGGATTTCCCACACACACACAAACACTCCCCACCATACACATAAAGGTAAAGGTTCCCTTGCTCGAAAGCCAGTCGAGTCCGACTCTAGGGTTGCGGTGCTCATCTCAGTTTCACCAGCTGGCCGCAGCTTGTGTAGAGCATGAATTCATGCTCTACTCCAAAGAATGCTCCCGCTTCAGGACAGAAGCGGTCACACACACACCCCGCCTAGCCGGAGCGGGAGGGGCCGCAACAGAGTCCCCTGCCTTAGACCTCTCTCCGGGAGGTCTACCGAAGTACCCCCGTCACCCCAGGGTCCCCAAAAGAGCGTAAAAGGATCAGGCGTTCTCGAAGCGACCGAGAAACCGCCCGTCGCCGCGCCACACCCCCTTCCGGTCGGGCCCTTATATTCTGATTTCCTTAACCTTTTAGTTGTTAATTTAAGTTTACCAAGCCATCCTAACAATTCAAATTATTATAAATTATTCCTATAGGTCCGCAGTGATGGCGAACCTTTTAGAGACCGAGTGCCCGAACTGCGACCCAAAACCCACTTATTGATTGCAAAGTGCCAACACGGCAATTTAACCTGAATACTGAGGTTTTACTTTGGGTATAAGATTTTGTGTGCATGCATGCTTCTTCGGATACATACATTCTTCAGATACATACGTATGTATCTGAAGACGCGTGTGTGCACACAAAAGGTTACACCCAGTATAAAACTTTTGTTGGTCTTAAAGTGCCACTGGGCTTAAACTTTGTTCTGTTGCTTCAGACCAAAACTGCTAACCACCTGAGTCTTCTTGGGGAGAGAGTTCCAAAATTCTCCCAGATTAGAGTCTGCACACTTAACCACCAGGGTTCCCTCTAAGCTGAGTTAGTGTGAGCTAGCTCACAGTTTTTTAGCCTCCAGCACACACATTTCTGTCTTTGCTCAGGAAGGAGGGTTCCAGAGCAAACTAATTTATGCAGTCGCCAGATCACTTGCTCACAACTTTAATGCTAGTAGCTCACAAAGTAGAATTTTTTGCTCACAAGACTCCACCACTTAGAGGGAGCATTGTCCACTACGCCAAACTGGCACCTCCCACAAGGGATCGGGGCTGAAAAATAGCCTACAGAGGCGGCTTATGGCATCTATAATGTCTGTCTGTCTGTCTGTCTCTCCCTCCCCCCAGTATTGGTATAAAACCCCTTCGTGCTGGACAAACGTAGCATCATAGCATTGTTCCATCACTGTAAACAGAAATGCGTGCAAGATTACCAATCTCTGTTGTTGCCAACATCAGCACAGATTGGATAAAGAAGATTATTCCAGCTAAACCCCTCTCCTGAAAAAAAGGTGGGGGAAACCCAGTTCTTGTTAACCATTTGGAAACAGCAATCTGCATTTTTTTCCCCACCGTGGTTGTCATTTGCCTTGGATAAAACACACTAATTCAATCAAAGCGTTCAAGCAGCCTTTCCGAAAGATACTTGACATTTCTGCCCGGCAGAATAAGTCAGACTGTAATATGTCATCCCTGAAGAATACCTTGTTTAAAAAAAAAAACACACACGCAACCTAGCCTTATCTGTCAGATTATGCACAGTAATATTATACAAAACTATTAGTGCATGTAGAATTTCAAAAATGCACCAAACACTTGAGGAGGATTTAGGCCGTCTCAGAAGCAATACTTAAGAATATGCAAATACTCTCAGCTGAATCAAGTTGAACATCCGCGGCTATTACAAACAAAGCCAGGTCTCCCCTTCCTGCCTGTTGCTTGCTGTCAATCAAAGAACTCGATAAAGATCGGAGTTTAGGACAATTTGTAGAAAGGAAAGTGTGGCCAGGGAGTTTCAGTGTATTATTCTACTACGAACGACAATAATTGTATTGTTAGACCAGATAAGCACAGCGGCTCTCTGAGTGCAAATTGTACTGAGGGATCTGCCTTGAGGGCCGTGTATGAAAATCCACACTTCTCTTTGTTAGTTTGTTTGCTGTATGTATACGGATAGACAAACAGACAGACAGACAACAGCAATTTCCTAAGAACATTTATTCCATACTGTAATTTGGTTGAGCAAAGTTTGAATAAGTGGCACCTTTAAGACCAACAGAGTTTTATTCTGGGTAAAAAGCTTTTGTGTGCATGCGCCCTTCCTCAAATAATTGTGTGCATGCGCCCTTCCTCAAATAATTTGGTTGTTGCACTTTTGTAAAAGTTGGACAGTGAAGGAAGCTGACAGGAAGAACATTTAAAATGTGGTGTTGGTTTACGGATACCGTGGACTGCCCAAAAGACAAATAAGTAGGTTCCAGAAATCAAGCCTAAATTCTCCCTAGAAGCTAAAATGAGGAGGAGGAGGAGTCTCAGAGTGGCTTACAAACTCCTTTCCCTTCCCCTCCCCACAACAGACACCCTGTGAGGTAGGTGGGGCTGAGAGAGCCCTTTCAAGGTCAGCTCTTGTCAGAACTGTGGCTTGCCCAAGGTCATCCAGCAGCTGCAAGTGGAGGAGTGGGGAATCAAACCCGGTTCTCCCAGATTAGAGTCCGCGCACTTAACAACGACACCAAACTGGTTCTAGATGACTAAAGAGAGGTTGTCATACTGTGGTCACATCATGAGAAGACAATACTCACTGGAAAAGACCATCATACTAGGAAAAGTTGAAGGCAGCTGGATTACCTCAAATGAGGAAAGCAACGGGCTTCAGTTTATAAGACCTCAGGAAGGCTGTCAATATAGGATGTTTTGGAGGTCAATAATCATAGGTAGCCATAATTTGGAAATGACTTGGTGGAACATATCACACACACAGTGATTACTCTGAGTGGTATCTAATTTATGTTGCTCTCCTTGAAGGTTTGGAGCTCCCATCTCCATTGAGGTTATAATTTCATAACCCAAACCACTTTCTCTTTTGCTGTACACTGTATTGATAAAACATTGATATCGCTTCATTTTGTAACCATACTATTTCACGGCCTGTTTGTTTTGCTCTAAGGAATCGCCTTCCGGACGCCGAAAAGCCCTCGCCACCAGCAATATCAACATGAAGCAATACGCGAGTCCCATGCCGACCCAGACCGACGTCAAGTTGAAATTCAAGCCTCTGTCTAAGAAAGTCGTGTCCGCCGCCTTGCAGTTCTCCTTGTCGTGCATTTTCCTGAGGGAAGGAAAAGCAACGTAAGTTTTGAACGAGGCGGTTGGCTTGGTTTCTGCTCCCTGCCCCCATGTTAGAAAGAGTTTCTCTTGGATGTAGTTACAGGTATTGAGAAAATTGTCCACTGGGCCCACACACTGTCAGAGTTGATTACAGTTGTTTATTGTGACTACAGAGAAGGCCTAGGGGCTAAACAGTGTGCTGTGGGCTGGGAATTTGTGTTGTGTCTTCACCTCAGGCGTGAACTGCTGCAGGATCCCAGGTGGGCAACTGTTCTCTTCGCCAAAGCCCCTCATTTGGAATATGAGGTAATAGTAGCCTGTTTTACAAAACTGCTGTTGAGAATGACAAAGATGATCCATATGAAGGTCTATGGCACTAAGGAAAACCAATCTTAAAACCATCTAAGAACATAAGAGAAGCCGATGCTGGATCAGGCCAATGGCCCATCCAGTCCAACACTCGGGGCGATTTCTCACTAGAGCTGCCTCGCAGCACAGCGCCATTTGCCTCGACACAAACATGTCAATTTCACACCCGAAGCTCCGGGGCTGCATTTTGACTCGGGGCTTCACCCGATTTCCTCCGCAAGCGGTGCTGTGCTGCGAGGCAGCTCTAGTGAGAAATCGCCCTCTGTCACACAGTGGGCAGAAAGACAGTGGGCAGAAAGATGCCATTAGGAGGTCCAGCAGTGGGGCCCAGGACACTAGAAGCCACTCCCACTGTTGCCCCCCCCCCAAGCACCAAGAATACAGGGCATCACTTGCCCCAGACCGAGAGCTCCTATCTATAACCCGAGTGCCGCATGACGGAGTGAGCTCCCGTCTCTAGTTCCAGCTCCTGCCAACCTAGCAGTTCGAAAGCAAGAAATTGCAAGTAGATAAATAGGGACCCCTTCGGTGGGAAGGGGACAGCGTTCCGTGCGCCTTGGTGTTTAGTCATGCCGGCCACATGACCACAGAAATGTCTTCAGACCAGCGCTGACTCTTCAGCTTTAAAACGGAGATGAGCACCGCAACCCTAGAGTCGGATTCGACTGGCTTTTGAGCAAGGGAACCTTTACCTTTAAGAGAACATAAGAACATAAGAGAAGCCAATGTTGGATCAGGCTAGTGGCCCATCTAGTCCAACACTCTATGTCACACAGTGGCCAAAAATACCAGGTGATATCAGGAGGCCCAGCAGTTGGGCCAGGACACTAGAAGCCCTCCCACTGTTGCCCCCCCCACCAAAGCACCAAGAATACAGAGCATCCCTTGCCCCAACGTGTGAGTTCCTATCTATACCTTGTGGCTAATAGCCACTGATGAAGATAAGAGGAGCCAATGTTGGATCAGGCCAATGGCCCATCCAGTCCAACACTCTATGTCACACAGTGGCCAAAAATACCAGGTGCCCTCAGGAGGTCCACCAGTGGGGCCAGGATACTAGAAGCTCTCCCACTGTTGCCCCCTCCCCAAGCACCAAGAAGGCAGAGCATCCCTTGCCCCAGACCGAGAGTTCCTATCTATACCTTGTGGCTAATAGCCACTGATGAACATGAGAACATAAGAGAAGCCAATGTTGGATCAGGCCAGTGGCCCATCCAGTCCAACACTCTGTGTCACACAGTGGCCAAAAATCCCAGGTGCCATCAGGAGACCCACCAGTGGGGCCAGGACACTAGAGGCCCTCCCACTCTTGCCCACTTTATATAATCTAAAACCAATCCAGATGATATAAAGTGCTAGTACATGTCGGTTTGGCGATAATAATCGTGATGACGTTTAGCGACGACGGCAGCAAGTCGATGTCCCATCCTGTTGATCCACTCTTCATTCTGTTTCTTATGTGGCTGGCTCAGGCTGTTTTTGGTGACTCTGAAGGGCAGGGCTTGCAATTAATTATGGGGGAGGCACCTAGTTGACGGCCTGGTGGAACTTGGGGTGGCCTGGGCTGGATGGGAAGTCGGGGGCCTTAGTGGTAAATTGGGGGGGGCAGGCTCCGAGAGGCCCCACTGTAGTTAAGAGCCTGGGCCCAGGCTTCTGTCTCCGATAGACTGACATTCTTTTAATTGCATCATGACATAAAGGTAAAGGTAAAGGTTCCCTTACTCGAAAGCCAGTCAAATCCGACTCTAGGGTTGCGGTGCTCATCTCCGTTTCAAAGCCGATGAGCCAGCGCTGTCCGAAGACGTTTCCGTGGTCATGTGGCCGGCATGACTAAACGCCAAGGCTCACGGAACGCTGTTGCCTTCCCACCGAAGTGGTCCCTATTTATCTACTTGCAATTTCTTGCTTTCGAACTGCTAGGTTGGCAGGAGCTGGAACTAGAGACGGGAGCTCACTCCGTCATGCGGCAACTCGGGTCTCGAACGGCTGAACTACTGACCTTTCACAGCCTGCAGTTCAGCGTCTTAACCACTTGAGCCACCGCAGCTCCGCATCATGACATAGCCCCCCCCCCAAAAAATACCAGGTTGGAATTGGCTCATTTCTTTGGGGAGAGGTAAGCTCGAGCTGCATACGGTTCAAGGTGATTAATAGCTATTGATCGAAGTGAAACCGTGGGTGTTGGTAGAAACAAGTCTAAGTGCCGCAATCATGGAATTCTTGGATGTTGTACAAGGTGAAGTGCTGGAAGCTCCACGTCGATGTTGACAACTTATTTGACGTAGATAAATTGTTTTTGTTTTTTTTAAGGGATGAAGACATGCAAAGCCTGGCTAGTCTGATGAGCATGAAGCAAGCAGACATTGGGAATCTAGATGATTTCGAGGAAGATAATGAAGACGACGAAGAGAATAGAGTGAACCAGGAGGAAAAGGCTGCCAAAATCACAGGTTTGTCTTTTCCCAAAAAAAAAGGGCGACGTTGAAAATACCTTTCCGAACTGGTCTGGAATGGCCTTAAAGCATTGTTCCGTCTAAATATTATAATGTTACAATTTGCATTTTCACCTAAACCGTGAGTGACCAGCCTTGGGCTCATCTTATGACAAGCAGGGCTATTTTTGGGCAGGAACGCACAGGAACGGAGTTCCGGCTTTCTCCTGAGTTGGCCACGCCCAGCAGGAACTCATTAGCATAACAGGCCACACCCAACAGCAGAAACTCATTAGGATTGGCTACATTAGGGGTGTGGCCTAACATGCAAAGGAGTTCCTGCTACAAAAAAGGCCCTGGGTTTTGACAACAAACAAGGTAAACAGAATAACAAGCAAAAGGTGGGTGTGGCTGGATGACCACACTTCTGGTAACATGGGGGTGCGGGCTAATGTGCTAATAAGCTGTGCTGTCAGGGGTGTGGCCCAATGTACTAATGTCCTGCTGTTGGGTGTGGCCTATTATGCTAATGAGTTCATTCTGGGCTTTTTCTACAAAAAGAGCCCTGATGACAAGTATCACTGGTAGTTGGAAGTAGAAAAGAACAAGAGTCCAGGAGCACCTTAAAGACTAACAAAATACGTGGCAGGGTAGGAGCTTTCGTGAGTCACTGCTCACTTCTTCAGATACAGCTACCTTGATCTAGCATTCTAGCTGTATCTGGAGAAGTGAGCAGTGACTCACAAAAGCTCCTACCCCACCACATGTTTTGTCAGTCTTTAAGGTGCTACTGGACTCTTGCTCTTTTCCACTGCTACAGACAGACTAACACGGCTACCCGTCTTGATCTGTCTTCACGGTAGCTGGCATTTGGGACATTGCCAGACAGTAGCGATCAGGGGTCATTTTGTAGAAAACGAGGTGCAGGATCTCATTAGCATAACTCATTAGCATATGCTACACCCCCTGACATCACCAGACATGTGTCAGAAGGCAACACCCACTGCTCAGCCTCCACTGGACTGTTTTGGATTGCTAACTACTGGGGGGGGGGGATGTGCAGATCTATCCTCACAGAGGAGGGAGAGCTTGTACCTGAATAAAACCTGGTCTTAAAGGTGCCACTGGACTGTTTGGGACCAGGGGGCCAGGGGGAGGCTCTTCAGCTTACCTGGCTGCTTCTTGCTCTGACTGAGGGCTGCTGGGAGCAGGGGGTGGGGCTTGTTGCCTATGCCCGCCCCCTGGGCTCTTTACTGCCGGAGCTCCACTCCTGTGCGCTCCTGCAGGAAATGACCCCTGGTAGCGATGAGTTTGGTGACAGCCTATGTTCCTGCCTGCCTCTTCTGACTTTTGTTGCTTCTTGATCCCTGGCTCAGTAGCAAAACCACGTCAAGGCCCTGGAGAGGGTTCATACGTCATTTAGCACAGGCTAGAAGCCTCTCGGGACAAAGACGTATTGATCTCGGGGGGGGGGGGGGCTACCAGCCTTGCAGTTTGGCTGGTCCTGCATTGGGCAGTGGGTTGGACTAGATGGTCTGTATGGCCCCTTCCAACTCTATGATTCTCGCTTACCTGAGATTCTCCTAGGAGTTATCCTGGACTGCATCCAGCGTTTCTGGAGGCGAAAAAAGGAGGAGGGCGTTCCCTCGGGCCACTCCAAAAAGCTGTTCTGGGCGTTGTGGGATGTACCCAGACAAAAAGCATGTTGGGCGGAGCTTGGAATAAGGAAGAGGATTAAGTGTGAGTGATAAAGGTGGCTGGACCCGACCCCGTATCTGGGAGAAAGTGGCTTTCTTGGGTGGTCGGTCCCATATAGTTGCAGTCGCAACTGTCATCTGAACCCAACCGGAGAGAGCCTTGATTAAGGCAAATCCTTGTCTCCCTCTGTAGCAGACACAGAGAAGCTCTACTTAACCTAGCCCAGTGTTCAATCCAAATCATGGAGAGGATATTAAGCAGCGGGGAACACATGGTGCAGGAGAGGGATTGCATGAGGGGGCACCGGAAGCACTACCAGAACGGCCGACCCACCGGAGTCATCATTTTTTAAAAAGCAAACTGGAGACAGGGTAGCTCTGCCTGTACCTTAGAGTCATGTAACCACACAGCTAAGTGCAACTAACTCCACACAGGCACTAGAAGAATTCACGGTTATTAGGGGGGAATCGTCCTCTGTTATGTTAAAGTTGCAAGTACTTGTTTGAAATGTTCAGTCCGGGAAGACTGTTTATTTGTATAGAAGTAAACACAGAAAAGGGCGCTAACAGTTGAAAGGGATGAACTAAGGATTAATATTATTAAATTATTCCATTCACCAGGAACGCATATACATACTCGTCCATCGAGGTGATCACATAGGTTGGTCCTAAAAGAAAGGATACAGTGGGTTTTAAGCTGATTTATTATATACCCGGTTTAGGTCCGTTTAGGACTTTTCTCAGCTCTTTAACTGAACAGGTAAGGTGGATACTGTACATCCAAAATGGCAACAGTATAGCTAATAATAGATTACCATCTCTAATAAGCATGTGGCTATATTGCTGTCACAGACCCATTGACTAGCTGAAAGTTATGTACTTTATAACTGCTGCTGTCACAGATAGTCATCTTTTTGCCCGTCTCACATAAGAAGCCAGAAATGATCTTGATCGCATTTCTGTTTGCCCAGCAAAAGCACTTCTGCAATCCATGTGATTTGTTACCATTTTCCTACTCCGTAATGTCAGTTTCTTAGAATTCCCCATGCACGTTCCCCCTAATTCTACAGTCTTCCCCAGTCTTTTATCAAATAATTTCTGAGTAGTGCAAAATACCAGGTTTTGCAACTTAAGGAAATTATGCATATTAAATATTTTCCCACTTTGCACGAATGTTCATGCTTTGCAGTAGTAATATTATAACCGTGATTTGGAATACAACTTAAAGCTTCAACAGCCAAGAGCAATATTGTAACTGTGGGGGGCGGGGGTCAGCTCAAAGTAGTTTCGTGGAAACCTTGTATTACTCCAACCCCTACCCCACCCCACTTAGGTCGAATGGCTGCCGCCCACTGAATTAAAGCAATGCCCAGTGATGAAAATCAAGAGTTTCAAGATAAAAATGTTTCAGAGGGTGGCCACATTGGTCTACAGGAGAACAACTAGATCCAGGTCGGGTAGCATCTTAGAGACCAACAATATTTCGGGGGGTATAAACTTTCAGAGAGAGCTTTGCCCTGAAAATCTTATTGGTCCCTAAGGTGCTACTTTACTGGACTCAAATCCAGTTGTAACTTAAAAATGTGTACAGCATCTTACGAGAACGTTTAATTTAGCGAAACGGCCAGCCCCAATGTGGCCATGTGTTTAAATTGTAGGTCGGCCTGAAAATATTAGGTGGGTCGAATTTTCGAGAAGTTGTATTCTGACGGTTTGCTAACTTCTGCCACTAATTGAAAAGAGACATTTCCATATAACTTTATGTGATACCAGTAATTACTAGGTTTGTCTGTACTGGATGTTTGGATGTTACTGATTATCGTGACTCTACCGATGCCTTTTGTCTAGAGAGTATGCCCAGTAGTGGTCCTTTTTGTCCAAATGCTGAGGAAAGCCTGCACAGAGACATTAAGTATGATCCGTGGTGATTCACTTCTCTAGAACACAACATGTTCCTTATATTAACATGTGTCTTCTTTCTTTCCCTTTCTTTATCGTCTTTCTAATAACAGCATGCTTTGTAGTCTTTATTTTTACTTAATAACCTTGCCTTACAATTGTCTTGACCGGCTTCTGTTTACAGAAATTGTAAACCAGTTGAATGCTCTGAGCAGCTTAGACGAAGAGCAAGACGACTGCACAAAGCATATGCTTTCCACTAAATCAGCCAGTTCCTCTGAAGGTCTATGAGCTTTCCTCCTCCTCCTCTTTTTTCCTAATTGTCCGTGTTTCCTGTGATCTTCCCCCACCCCTACCCCTTGGCATCTGTTCGTAAATACTGTGTGGTATCTGTGTGCTTGATATCCATTGCAACCTTTTAGAGTAATTTGTAGTGCAACCAAAAGATGACAGCATGATAACAGGTGACTATGTAAGGTACTGCTTTGGCTGAAGGCTACACACGATCCAGCATACGCTTAAGCCACAGTGGTTTGCCTGGCATGACCAGTATACAACACGTAGACTTTTCTTCTTAGGAATGGGGAAATTGGTGGTGGTGGTGGAGTTAATTTTTTTTTTACTTTTGTACCCCCCCCCCAAAAAAGGATAGTAGTAATTCCCCCCTCAATGGTATTTCCCCCCTCAATAGTCTTTTCCCCTCAACAGTATTTTCCCCTCAATAGTATTTCCCTCTCAATAGTATTTCTCCCTCAATAGTATTTTCCCCTCAATAGTGTTTCCCCCTCAATAGTATTCTCCCCTCAATACTCTTTTCCCCTCAATAGTATTTCCCCCTCAATAGCATTTCCTCCCTTTTAAAAAGGGTTAATGAACCTACACCTGATTCCGTCCGTCTCATTGAACTAGAAGCATTGTTGTGCTACAAAGTACATGGGTCTAGTTTTGCAGTAGAGCTTCTGCTCCAATTCACTGTCCTTTGCGGAATGAAATGTTTGTTTAAATGTCCCATGCTCAGCCTGGGCTGTCGCTACACTGAGCAACTTTTTCCTTTGTTCCTCAGAACTTATCAACAAGCTTAATTTCCTGGACGAAGAGGATCAAAGCACGGCCAATCCCAGCTCAGACCCATTTCTAGATCCCAGTAGGACAGAACGAAACCCTTTTGGAGACCCTGAAATGGAAGGTATCGAATGTTTCCTTTTGACGTACCTTTGTCATTGTTGATCTTTGGGCTGCTGTGGATGTTACGGCAAGTGCAGCGTGCCCTCATTCTGACTGTCACACTGCTGTCGTAAGGTCGGAAAAGGGAGCTGAGTTTCACAAGCTGTCACTGCACACAATGCCGTTGCAGAGCTCCCTTGCACAAGATCGCCTTTGGGGATTGCAGCAGATGCCCCTCGTGCACCCAAGGGATTGCGTTCACCATTAACGCCCAAAGATGAGGACATGTCTAACAATACTTTATATAAACAGTGTTTGTTTAAAAGTTTTATTTCAGAGATGTCTTAGCTTTCTTTTTCTACTTAAATGCCCACATAGTAGCTCACGGTCACATTTTAGAACAGTGCGCATCCAATATGAAACTTGTGTTGATCTTCGATAGAGAAGCTAGATTTGCGTTTGTATGAATCTGATGAAGGGAGATTTGAGTATTCAGGAATATGACGAAGGGAGATTTAAGTCTCAAAAGCTCACGGCCCGAAAATCTTGTTAGTCTCGCCACTGGACTCCGAATCTAGCTATTTATTCAAGTATTTTCTTTCAGCAATGTCTTGTCTTTCTTTTCCTGTTTAAATGCCCAAACAGTAACACAAAGGCTGTGGTCACTCATGCGAAATAGTTCACTTTCAGTGCACTTTTCAAGTGGATTTTGCCAGTTCACACAGGCCCATTCTGCAACTAGCATTCGCGCCGCTGTTTTACCGAACCCTCATTGGAACAGAAATTCCCCTCTGCATCGCATGCCGCTTTCACTTTCTTTGATCATCAGATTTTTATGGTAGCCTCCACACTCCATGCCGCTTTCACTTCCTTAGAATTACAGAATGTTAGAGTCATAGAATGTTAGAGATGACCCTGTGGGTCATCTAGTCCAACCCCCCCCCCCGCACTCTTTAGGAGCACAGCCGATAGATAGCCCTACAACATACCCGGAAGATGGTCGTCCAGCCTCTGCTTGAAAACGTCCGGCGAAGGAGCACCCACCACCACCCGAGGCAGTCTGTGATCTCTCGGTTTTATGGTACCTTCTGCATAGATTTATGGCTGTTCGGGGTGACTCCGCAGTCAGTACCAGTGTTCACTCTAAGCTGAGTTAGTGTGAGCTGGCTCACAGTTTTTTAGCCTCCAGCTCACAGATTTTTGTCTCGGCTCAGGAAGGAGGGCTCCTGAGCAAACTAATTCATGCAGCAGCCAAATCGCTCGCTCACAACTTTAATGCCAGGAGCTCGCATAGTAGAATTTTTGCTCACAGGACTCCACAGCTTAGAGGGAACATTGGTCAGTACAGTGTTGGCCAAGGGTATCTGAATGTGGTTTTGAGCCACATCTTTGTTTGTTCCAGTGTGGATTTGGTAAAACAACGGTACGAGTGCTAGATGCAGAATGGGCCTCAGTAAAATCCAGTTGGAAAGTGGATTGAAAGTGGATTATTTAGTGTGTCTGTTACCGCAGCCTTACAGTCATTCTTTAAAACAATATGCATCCAATCAATGCTTCCTCTAAGCTGTGGAGTCTTGTGAGCAAAACTGCTACTTTGTGAGCTACTGGCGTTAAAGTTGTGAGCGAGCAATTTGGCTGCTGCATACATTAGTTTGCTCTGGAGCCCTCCTTCCTGAGCTAAGGCAAAAATGTGTGATCCGGAGGATAAAAAACTGTGAGCCAGCTCACACTCACTCAGCTTAGAGGGACTGCACCAGCCCGTAGCTAAGGAGTTTTCGGGGAGGGTGCCTGGGGAGGGGCACCAGCCAATCAAATCAAAGTTAATTAAATTAACTTCGATTTAATTGGTGGGACTCCTAAGGCAGCCTCGGCTGTCACCGAGGGGGGGGGGAGAGCACTGCCGCCAACAGCAGGGACAGCCCTCGCACTGCAGACGAGCCCTCGGGTCTTGCAGGCCGCCAGGGCACTCTTGCTCTCTCTCCGCCTCCCTCGGTGGCTGGCCACCAGCAAGCGCCCTGCCAAGCTTCCCCGCCTCCCTCCCTCCCTCTTGGGGTGGACATGGACAGACAAGGAGGCGGCTCCCCAGACGGCTGCCTCACCTGGGATGCCTCGCCCCCGCCGGGCCCACCACTGCTGACTGTGCCGGGCGGCCACCGGTGCCTCCCGCTTCATGCAGCGCTCCCGGATCGCCGAGGGGTTGTTCTTTTTTCCTTTTTCTTTGAGAATGGGGCATGTGGGGCAGCGGGGGGCGGGAGGGCAGGTCCGGCCCGGAGAAAGTGGAGGAGCTTCTTCCGTCAGCTTTTTGTTGCACGACAGGTCGTTTGCTTTGCAGCCCGGTTGGGGAAACCTTGGCTTGGAGCTTGTTTTTTGTTTTTTTGTTTTTGTTTTTTTGAGGGAGGCAAGCACCCAGGAGCAGCAGCAGGTGGCGTGGAGTCACCAGCTGTTGGGCTGAGGGCAGCGACAGGGAGGGAGGGAGGGGGAGCCAAGGATTGGAGAGGAGCCCGTAAAAACCATGGGGAGGCGGGCCCCGTGGCCCCTGCAGTAGCTACGGATCTACGGATCTGGACTGCATCCAGTATAAAACTTGAATGAAACATTCATGAAACCATTTTTGGGTTAGCGTGGGGTATAAATTTAAGGAGGAGGAGGAGGAAACCCTGTGGGATTTTTTTCAATAAAGACTACAGATTATAGCATCTATCGGAATAGAAACAGCAGAGTTCAGCCATCCTGTTGGTTTGCTGCTTGCTTCGGCCTGTCTGAATGCACGTCAGTTCCACTTTCCATCTCTTGGTGATGCCAGGTTGTGCGGTCATCAATGGCAGCGTGAGCTCTGAACCGTTACAGCTTCGACTGTGGGAAGGCGGTCGGGGGTGGCTTGGATTGCAGGCAGAAAAATGGGGATGCGGGCAGAGAGGTAAACGAGCCAGTGGGCAGGCAGCTTTCCCCACGACAGCCTTGGCTCCACACTGACGCTGGCATCGACACCACTTCTCTAAGCCTCGTGTGGGCTGGCAATATTAAAATCTCACAGTCATGCCCGCAGAGGTGAGCCACAGCCGCCCCCCCCCCCCCCCCCCTTGGAAGCCTCCCAGACGCATGGAACTCCCACACGGTTTCAAGGGGCGAGGCCACCTGAATGATGCGTGGGTGCTTCCCTGCCCCTGCTGGGTTAGGCACAGCACTGGGCAGAGAACTACCCTTCACAGAATCATAGAGTAGGAAGGTGCCTCCAGGGTCATCTAGTCCACCCCCTTGCACAATGCAGGACATTCACAAATACCTCCCCCTCCACACCCCAAGAGAGCCAGTTTGGTGTGGTGGTTGAGTGCGCGGAATCTACTCTGGGAGAACCGGGTTTGATTCCCCACTCCTCCCCTTGCACCCGCTGGATGACCTTGGGCAAGCTATAGTTCTGGCACAGCTGTTCTTGAAAAAAAGAGCAGTTTTTGTCAGAGCTCTCTCAGCCCCACCGACCTCACAGGGTGTCTGTTGTGAGGAGGGGGAGGGAAAGGAGCTTGTAAACCGCTCTGAGACTCCTTTGGGTAGTGAAGGGCAGGGTATA